CTCCTACTGGTAGCGAATGAATGGTCATAAAGCAGTATAGCAGCTCTTTCTTAGCCTACTCTTCAGTACTAGAATTGAACTGTCTGTCTCTCTCCTTCTAAATATAAAGTACATATAGTGAAGAAAAACACTGTCAGCAGCACAAACTTGAACAGGCAGAAACAAAATAAGCTCCTCACAACAATTAGGTCTTTGGGCTACATCTGACTTGTGGATGTTTTTGTTTGCCCCCCGCCACTGGTTTTTATTTTTCTTAGTAAACATTTATAGTATATGATAATTACATTCCTTGTGGAGAGTTGGTACCTGTACATAACACATCTTAATTCTTTTTTCATCCCCTTTTCCTCTCCTCCTTCCCCTCCCTCCATCTCTTGACCCCCTTCCTATTTGAAAAAGATTTCTTTCTCCCTATTTCCTATTATCTATCTTTTATTTTGCTCTTTATTTATATTTTGGGTTTCTCATGTAAGAGAAATCATGTGATATTTAAGCTTTTGTGTCTCATTTATTTTATTTAACATTATGGTTTCAAGATACATCCATTTTCCTACAAATGACTCAAGTTTATTTTTTATGGCAAAGTAGTACTCCATTGTGTATAAATACAATTTTTATCCATTCATCTGTTGATGGACATATAGGCCATTTCCAAGATTTAGCTATTATGAATTGTGCTGCTACAAATATAAGTATGCATGTATCACTGTCACATGATGTCTTTAACTCCTTCAGAAAGATTCCTAGAAGGGGAATAGCTGAGTCAAATGGAGTTTCTAGTTTTAGTTTTTGTTTGCTTTTGACCAGCATAGGGCTGGTCAAATATTACATAGGGCTGTAATATTACCAAAAAATTCTATTTCACAATATAAATTTCAGAATTGGCTTTTATAATGAAAATTTGTTTATTATGGAGACATCTGGCATTGGTGGTCTGTGTCCCCATGGGCAATGATATAGCCACTAACCCCTTTATGTGGAAGACCACGCTCTAGTTTGTTAAAATCTCACTCTCTGTGGTCTGTAGTCTATCGCTGACCTGAGTGGCAGTTGTCATTTGTCACTGTGTCTGTGCGCCTGTTTTCCTTACTCATGTGCATTACCTATCTGATCCCTGTAGCCATTTAAGTTTGTGTTAGCTGACAGAAGGTGAGAGCATAAAACCACCCTTTTCACTGCCAGCAACACAAGAAGTGCAGGGGAAATTTTTTTCAGTGACTTTTCAATCAGAGCACCTTCCTAGTGGTGATTCTTTAAGTTTAAAATTGATAGTTTAATACTTTTATTAAAATGTATTCATATGTCATGTTATACATAGTTTAAGGTTGTCAGATATAGACATTCAGGTGAAGAAAATTGCTTACCGCCTTGTAACTCTGATGTGATGAGTGGCAGGCTCCCAGCTCATAAACTTCTACATGTCCATGTTAATTTTTGTGTTTTTTCACAGATTTTTTTTTTAATATTAAAAGTCCTAGTTTTCTATCATTCATTCATCCTTTATCTTATTTCATTTTCTGTGGTGCTAGTGATTGAACCCATGTCCTTTATGCATGTCAGGCACTCTCCCACTAAGCTCCCTATCCAGCCCTCTATCATACCAAAAATCCTTAAAGAAATTGTCTTTTACAATTCTGGGCTATTCAGATGAACCAACAGACACACAAATTCCTGTTTTTTGTCCTTTAACAAAGGTCAAATTTTGTTATTGATCAATCTCCATTACCAAATTTCAAATATTCCATCATACTCCAATATAACAAGCCACATTTCTGTCCTTCCCTGATTTTCTCACAGTGGAGTTTTTCTTCTCAAACCCCTACCTATCTTCAAACTAAATAAGGTCCTAGTGGCTTTAGAATAAATTACTGCTAACTTTTATACTCTGGGTCTAGGTAGTTCCTAGACCTGATGCAAAGACATTTCAAGGACAACTAAACATTCTCTTTTGCAGCTTTCCTTCCTAAAGTTCTGGAATAACTGAGAAAGCAAACAAAATCCTAAAGAATGTTTCTTTTCTATTCTTTCTCAATTGTTGTTGGTATCTTCTTAGATACTTTTGGAGTTGATCATCTAAATTGAGAAACTATTCTCTTTACATATTACTTTATGTTGTATTATCAGGTAGGCAAACTGCTATAATAAAGAGCTCTCTAAATATAATATCTTGAACACTATATGTGGTTTTTTCTTGTTCATTTAAGATGTGTATGAACAGGTTTGTGAGAAGGCTCTTGCAACCAGGTAAATACCTGAGCAAAGTGGGCAGAGTCTGTACCAACTTCAGTATACAACTTTCAAAGTTTCCCTGTAGGTTGTCTCTATTCTAGCCAACCACAAGGGGGAAAAGGGATGGAGGCACATGCATGGGATGTTTATAACGACTTAAATCCTAGAGGTATGGTGACTCTCCTCATGTTCATTGGTCAAGACTCAATCATATCATCAATCTTAGCTATAAAAGAGACTAACAAATATAGTCAAGTTGTGTGACCAGAAAGAATAAGAATATAAATTTTGGTGATATTTAGCGTCCCTGTTGAGGAAGAGGTTGTCCTGAAGAGACCTTTTAGGATGAGCCATGTTAGCCAGCTTTTTGTTGCTGTGAGAAAATACATGCGAAAAAAAAAAAAAGCTTAGAGGAGAAAAGTTTATTTTGGCTCACAGGTTTAGGGGTTTCATTTCATGATCAGCTGGCTCCATTTCTGTTGCGGGGAGGGCAGAGCCAAAGAGGAATGGACCAAGGACAAGATATACCCTTCAAGGTAATGCCATGACCTATTCTTTTCAACTAGGCCCCACCTTCTAAATTTTCATCACCTCCAATAAAGTCATCAAATTATGACTCCACTAATGGATTAAACCACTGATGACAAAGCTGAAACCCGTATGATCTAATCACTTCCCAAAGTCCCACCTCCAATATTACTGCATTATGGACCAAGTCTCCAATGCATAAGCCTTTGGGGGGACATCTTAGAACCAAACCATAACCTAACCTATAGGAATCACTTCCAGAACAAGCAGGAATGCTCCTTCCAGAGCAAAGTTAGACATGTTAGCTATATCTTCAAAGCTAATATTACCAATTGCTCTGTGGAAAATAAAAAAAAGGAATCTTTATCCATACTTAGATAAAAGTGATAAGATAGAAGAGACTCACACACAGTCCTCCAGTAGATAACAGAGCTACGGTGGTGATAAATAGCAAGAAACCCAAAGGAAAATATGACTCATGGTGCTGGAGTCCAGATTCCTTGCCTAGTTAGACTTCCCATAGAGACATTTTCCTTTGCACCTCAAGGAGGTTCAAAGTTTTATTTTTATTACATATAAACACAATTACAGGGATCCTCACTCAGTTCAGTCAACAAATGGAAATTCTATCATATACCAGACACTGTGAGAATAAAGTCTTTTCTGTTTGTATAGTTAATCACTTGGGAGTAATCCACATCTTGTCTAAGGCCCTAGTTTTCCTATGGATGTCCTGTGGCCCTGTCACCATGCTTTAGTCTTATAGCACTGGTGGGACAGCATGGCCAGTAGCTCTTCACCCAGTGGGCTCTGTGCTTGGCATTGTCAGTAAGAAGCAGCTGTCAGCATACACTGAGGGGCTGACAGTCAACTTGGTTGAAAGCTCCTTCCATATCCAGTGTTTCTTTTTTCATCATTTCTCCTGTGGTCTGCACTCAGCTACGGATATTCAGAAATCTCATCCAAACTTCTGGCAATGCTCTTCTCTGTAAGCTTTGACTGATGTCTTCATAAAGCCCCAGACAGTGGGGTAGCTTCCAGACTGCACAATTTCATTAGTCTCCTTGTCTATTCTGGGCAGGATAAGTAATGCTAGACAAATGGGGACACTGCTTCTACCCCTGAAATCTTATGCAGCTCAGGCTTTGCTGCATTGTTAGCTCTTCCTTTCTTAGCTTAAGCTTCTGACCTTGCTCAAATGCCATGTTCTACCTAAGATGTTGGCACCTCTGTTTAATTTCTAATTCCTTGTTTTGATCTCCTCACCACCACCAGATGCCATTGGTTTTTACTAAACCCTTTGTTTCCTTTGATGCTTGAATCCTAAGGGCTTGATGACTCAGCTCTTAGCATTAGGCCTAAACTATTAGAGGGAAGCAGAGGAATAAACAAAGGAGTAGAAATTAAAGGCAGGTAGAGTGGAACATTCATTAAAAGGAAGGACTAGGAAGTAATTTCAGTGTCCTGTGCTTGACATAGGTGAGAGAAGAAATTGGGGTGATGGTCTGTATTAAGGGAAACATAAAGAACTTCTTATTGGAACAGAAAACATTATTCAGTCAACCTTTTAGAGCTAAAAGGAGACACCAGAAATGCAAATCAGAATCAGCAGCACTCTTTAACCTCAATAGAAAGAGGTTCATCCCCTCCCTTGAGTCAGATGTATGGGTGTGTGTGTATGTCTATATCCTGAGACAGAGAATCCCTTTCTTGTTTTGGAATTATAAAGGGTTCATGATCCATAAATGAGAAAGGTTAGAGGGCTCAGGTATCCTATGGGTAGTCATAGCTACGAGGGAGATGAGATGTCTGGAGAAAGACTCCTGGTGGGTGAAGAGCTTAATGTAAAACTAGTGTGAAATGAGATGATGTAGGGGATTAATGTTCCACAGCTCTATACTGAAGTCTGGTGTCAGACTTTAAAATTCACATAGGAAAATAGACCCCATACTGCGGAGTCTGAGAGAGCATTTATCTCCATGTCAGTGACACAGAGTGGAAAATATGAAATCATAGGTTCACATTTCATGAACTGAGTTTTATAGTTTTCAAACTAATATTCTTCAAGAACACAGTCTTGTTTTGATTTTCTGCTGCACATTTTTCTCACTCTAACCTTTTGTTCTCCCTAGGAACACTTTTGTCATCACCCATTAAAAGTCTAGGCTATTATCCAAAGGTACAATAAACAATGGTATTTCTATTTTTACGAAGGTATTAACACCTATCTGTGCTTCTGGTAGCAAAACTGCTGAGTTCTTGAGCAGACTGGACAGAACATTGCCACACGGAAGTGTCCATCAATTTGCTCCCCGTGACTCGCAGTCATCAACATGGGTAAGTGGAATGTCACGCAAGCTGCTGTCTGGAACTTCTCAAAGAGGTGTTTAGAGGCTGATGATTAAGGGCCTAAAGAGACTGGTATATCATGGAATACTGGAACTAAAGGTAGATGACCTAATCTGAAACTGTGACCCCAAGTCTATCTGAGCTAAAAAAAAATCATGCTTATAATTGTTACCTCCATTATAATCTTCTAAAAAGTCCTTGATCTCACCCAGTCATCCATCGACACCTTCCTCAAATTCTTATGTCAACACAAGGTATGGAGAAAAATGATTTAGATAAAAATATCTATTACAGTAAAAGACATATTGCCATTAATTGCCCATAAAATACTCCTCTTTGCTTGTAATGCACTTAGCCCATCATTATTTCCACCTTCTAAAGCAGTTCTAAAAGTCCTCTTTTGTGAGTACCATTTCACAACTGCATGATATTCCTTATTCAAAACATTTACTGTAATTTCTGTCAAATAAAAACTTTGATGTGTCCTCATCTACCTTACTTGCTGATCTGATACCATGTGACTTTTGGATCTTCCTGCAATTCAAAATGAGTATAAAAGATAAATGTTTTGAACTGATTCAGGACATCAAGGCAGCCACAATAATGCAACTAAAGACACTCGTGAAAGAGGACTTCTAGAACTACTTCAGAAAGTTGCAAGAACAATGGGTTACGTGTGTTTGAAGTGAGGCTATTTTGAGGGAGATTGATGGCAATGTGTCTTTTACTGTAATACATTTAAAAAAATTTAAACATTCACTGAATATTTTTATCACACCTCATCAGGTGTACTAAATGCGTATAGTATCTGTTCTAAAAATTTTAATAGAGTGAGGGAGAAAGCCAGTAGTTAGCAAAGTGCTGAGTGTAGAGCATCTCACAGATAGAAAGCACCGTTGCTTTACCAGGAAGACACATCTAATTCAGACTGTGTGTGTGTAAGCTTCCCAATAGAGGTGACCTGAAGCCAAAGCTTAAAAGATGAGCCAGGAAGGCAAAGAGTTATTCCAGGTGTTAGAATTCATGAAGACTAAAAAGCAAGAATTAAGATGTTAAGGGGAAAAAAGAGCATGGCTTGTGTTGGGAAGGAAGACTTATGTAGCTGTAGTGAAAAAGTGAATCAAAGGGCTTGAGAAGTAGATAGGAACCATTTGGAGCCTTTCTCAGTAGTGGTACTACTGGCAATTTGGGTGGGTGGGGCAGTTTATTGGGCAGCTTGTCTTGAGTACTGCAGGATGTTTAGCATCCCTGCACCATAGACACAAAATGCTCAGAGCACTACCCAAACATGGTGACATCTAGAAATGTCCCAAACAGGAAGCCAGGGGGTAGTCCTGGTAGAAAAACCGCTGGAGACATTTGCAAGTCACGTAAGTGAACTTGGACTTCATTCTGTGAGTACTAAAGGTACTGAAATGTGGCCAAGGGAGGTTCAAAGTCAGATTTGTATTTTCATTAGATCACAACTAAAAACTATTGGAAGGACAGATTTAAAGGTCTAGGAACTTCTTGGAAGATGAAAGGGCGAGGACTTGATTATTGACTAGATAATTGGGGCCAAGGAAGTATCATTAAGGATGACCCTGGGAAAATGTTGCAGTTGAAAGAAAAGATGGACATAGGTTTTAAAAAGTCTTAGCTTTTCTAGGATTTGGGCAGGTAAAAGCTAAGTTGTTAGAGAGACTTGATTTTCATCATCCCCATCTGCCTACTCCTTTCTCATTAGGGACCATGTTTCAAAATGTCAGGAAGACAATATGACACCCTTAAAAAAAGGTCATTGTACTCCTACCTACAAACCTTTAGCTTTTTCCCCTTGCTTCTGATGTAGTGTTCCAAAGACCAAATGTTCAGTGTGGCTCTACAGGACATATCAACTGAAATCTACCACCTCTTTCCCGTCACTGCAGGGTTCTAGGGGAAGACTCAAGAAGCTGTAGGCAGGAAAGTTACATCGTGTGTAGATGCCAGTCCTGAGCACCTAGTATCTGGGTATCCTCGAGACTATGAGGGAGGGGAAGTAGACAGGAGTTGGGTAGCTTTACCAACTGCATTTTTACATGCCAGGATAGTCTTGATTTCTGATTGAAGCTTTGTGAAGCCTATAATTTGAAACATCTGGCAGAACTGTGTGTGCTTACTCTATTGATTTTGGCTCATTTCTTCAATTTAACAAGATCGTCCTGAATTTTAATATTGTCATCCAAAGCATTAGCAGTGTCTCCCAGAACTGCATTTTCTGTGGATTGATTAGTGTATTCATCACATGATCCTCTGAGTTATCAATAGAAAATATGGAGCAGGATTGGCCCCAGGATGGTTCCTTATGAACTGTCTGCAATTGCTGCTCTCATTTTGACATCAAACTATTAACAGGTTGTTGGTGTTCAATATACTTAACTGACATTATACTCTTCTAGTTCTGTCTAATCCATACGCATAGAATTCTTCTGAGAATGCTTTGTGAAACAATTTCTAATGCTCATGGAAAATCAAATATGTACACTGCACTTCTGTAAAGAATATTTCTCCTCTGTTAAAAGAGGGCATTTGCAGTTTGCCTTAGCTATGGTCAAGGTATAGAATGTGAAATATGTGTGACTCCCATCTGTAGGGAGTATGACACACTAAAAGAATTTAAATTGTTTCCCTTTTTCTCTAATTTTAATTATAGTACCTAATGCAACTTTCCTAAGAAAAAATTTCTTCTTACACTTTTAAAAAGCTGAATGTGGTCCTGCCATTGACAAATGGTGACTTAATAAATACTATATAGTTACATAAATGAAAAAGGGTATGAGAACTTGGTTTCTCGCACATGAATCAGTGAAGTGTGGGGGAACGCAAGTCATACCTTCCTCAGCCATTATCACTGAATGTTTCCAGTTGTGTACAAAATGGTTTCTGGTCCCAGGTTTCCTTTCCCCTCTTGTTCTACAAAGAATAACGATTTTTTTTTTTTTGTACTAGAGGTCAGACTCAGAACCTCACACTTGCCAGGCAGGCGCAGTGCTGCTGAGCTACATCCCAGCCCAAGAATAACAAGTTTTTAAAAACTCATCCTGGTGGGGCACGGTGGCAGAATTTTAGTCTCAGCATTCTGGGAGGCTGTTGCAGGTGGATTTCTAGTTTGAGGCCAGACTGGACAATTTAGTGAGAACTTTTATCAAAATAAAAGTAACTTTAAAAAGGGATGGAGATGGGATGGAGATAGCTCAGTGTGAAGGCTGTGTTTAATTCCCAGAACCACCAAAAAAAATTGCATCCTGTTCCATTTCACTGCCCAGAATCACTTAGTGATTTCCTATATCTTCAACACCAAATTCAAAGTGCCTTGGCTTAAGCACAATGCCCTTTCTGCCCTCTGCCTGCCCCCTCTTCTCTCTCCAGCTGTGGTCCATAGCCCAGGCTATGGGCACCACCAGGATTTTATAGAAATACAGGTGAATCTCAGGCCCACTGCAGACCTCCTGTGTCAGAATCTGTGTTTTAACATCTGTGAGTGATTTGTGTGCACGTTAATGTTTGAGGGAAGCTGCCTTACCTTGTATTTTTCTAGCCTTATACTCTCACACCACTCTGCACACTCCATGTGACTTTTTCATTTTAATCTATGTGTCACATGTTTGTTCCTTCTTGAAGATCCTCGATTTTTTGGAGTGCTGCTTTGGTGCTCATGAATTTAAGGTGCTTTGTCATGGAAATACCTTATTTCTCCGTCAATTTTGAAAGATAGTTTTGCAGGATATATCAGTCTGGGTTGGAAGTTGTTTTCTTTTGGGGCCTGAAACATTTCACTCCAGGCTTACCTGGCTTTTAAGGTTTGTGTTGAGAAATCTGCTGTAATTCTAATGGCTTTACCTTTAGAAGTTATTTGTTGCTTTTCTCTAACAGCTTTTAAGAGTCTGTTGGACTTCTGGGCCTTTGACTATGATGTGTTGTGGAGAGATTATTTTTTGATTGGGGTTATGTAGGATTCTATATGGCTCACTTATCTGTATTTTCTATCTTTTACAACCTTTTAAATGTTTCACTCGATCTTTGCATTTTCTTAGTTTCCTTTGAACATTTGACTGTCCTTTAGCTTTTGTGGCTGCTCTCCAAAATGCCTCCTGATGCAAATTTCCACAGTTTTCTATTTCATGCTTGTCAGAGAGCTTATCAATTCTGCCTCCCCCACACCCACAGATATCTCTCACTTCCTGCTCTACACCACATGGATTGTTCTTCAGGCCTGCTACACAGCAGTTGTTCTGGGACTTCCCTTTAACACAGTGGATTTCACTGCCTCTGCACAGTGGTCTAACCTGAAGAGAGGTAAGAACTGCTCATACCTAGGTTATATTTCCAGAGTTCCTGCTGTATTGTGGTCAGGGCTTCAGAGTTTAGTTTTGTTTTTTTTCATTGCTTAAAAAAATTTTTTTTATTACATAAAGGTACATAATATTTATTATGTACATTTATATTCCTTGTAGGGAGCTGGAAGTTGGAGCATGTATATAACACATCTTTAGTCTTTTTTTCATCCTCTTCTATCCCTCTTCCCTCCATCTCCTGATTCCCTTCCCATTTGAGAAAGATACTACTTCTTAATATCTTTTATTTTTATATTTACTTACATTTTAGGCTTCTGGTATAGGAGAAACCATGTGATATTCAAGCTTGTGTGTCTGATTTACCTCATTTAATATTATGGTCTCACAGTGCATCTGTTTTCCTACAAATGATTCAAGTTTATCTTTATGGCAGAGTAGTACTCCACTGTGTGTAAATACTACATTTTCTTTATCCATTCATCTGTTGATGGACATATAGGCCATTTCCAAGATTTAACTATTATGAATTGTGCTGCTCTAAACATGGGTATGCATGTATAACTGTAAAATGACATCTTTCAGTGTTTTAAAAGCTCCCCAGGCAATCCTAATGTGCAGCCAAGGTTGAGAATCACTGCTTAGCAGTCATCCTGGGAATTCTTTTTATTGCCT